TTGCAAGATTCCCTGTTGAACGAGCTTATCTATCTCTGCATCAATCTTGGGCTTAAGGGCAAAAGGCACTCTACAAGGCTTTACTCTGATTGGGGCTATGGTTGAATCAAGGTGGAGAACAATTGGTGCTCCTTCGTACTTCTCTAAATTTGGACTGAATATGTCCGCAAAATCCTGGCAGACAGCTGCCAATCCGTTGTTTGGGTTCTGTTGATGCCAGTCACATGGATGCCCAGGGCATCAAATCAGTCTAACCCGATCAGGCTTGTTCGCTGGCCTTCCACCACCACGATGTTGAGGGGACCCTCAAACTCTTTGAACTTTACTTTTAAAATGGCTTCGCCTTTAACCACTACGCGGGAATTTTGAAAATCTATCCAAATTAAATCTGATGGCTTGAGTCTGACTCGTTTCTCGCCATGTCTGCAGATATAGTTAAAAGTCCTGTAAGACAACTTCTGGTTCCAGTACGCAGTGACGCCAGTCGTGTCTGGAGACTCGTCTCCACTCCAGCCGGGTTTTCTTCGCCGATAGACCCCTTAGTGGGTCAAAAGCCACCCTGGAGGGGCAACCACCGAGGAGGCGGCTTGCTGGTGACTGCAGGAGGGCGGCAGCTTCTCCTGTGGCTCCAGCTATCTTCTCAGGGCCGACTGAGCAAAGATCGTCCTGCAAGATGGCCGATTGCCCTGCTGCACCAGCTGAAGTCACAATTACATCTAAGTGTATTAGACCCATGGCGGATGATCTGGGTGAGACCCCTTTTGCTCCTCTCTTCACCCTATTTGGGTTTTTTTTTATTGCCTGTAAAAGCTTTGTTGGAATTTTTTCCCCGTCTTGAAAAAGCAGCTTTTGTATGTGTGGGAAGAAAGGCACTGAGAACAAAATTTTTTAAAGACTACACTTTATTTTCATTCACTTTGGGATACAGAAAAAACATTTTTCCGAATTGTACTATTATTTTATACTGGAAGATTACTTCTTTCTCCACTTTTTCCTTTAAAAGACAGGGAAAAAAGGGGGGGAATGCTGTCTGGAAAAGATTTTTTAATCTACCGAGGACATCTAGTGGCAAAAAGCTAATATTGCAACTGCTGATTATTGTTTGGAGAGGAGAAGGACTTGACTTTCAAACTACTCTTGAAGAGAAAAGATAAGCTGATGCAGCTGTGGGAATTGTGGGGGTGGACATTGCTTAACTTTTGTTAATTACAGTCTTCACTAAAAGAAAAAAGGGATTCTCTTCAATCACTATTAAAATGGAGAAACCTTATTCTCACTTAAACTGTAAACTTATATTGGAAAAGATCTATGAGGCTACTGAAGAAATATGTGCCACAATGAAAGGGATTACTACAGAACTAAAAGCCAGAAACTCTACCCCAAACTTTCAAACTGACTTTCAGACTACATCTGACCATTCTACAAACCAAAACATACCAGAAGAGGAATCAAGTGAGACTAAAGAGGAATTTATTTTACCCTACAAGCATTTCATCTATATCTTCGAGGATCAGATAAATCAAAGACTGAGATTTGAACCTTTAAAGCAACGAGGCTTTAAGGATAAGAGAAATAGATGTCCAATGCAGAGGTCAGGATGCTTTTTATTGTCTCAAATGATATTACAAGCAATAAAGAGAGACCTATCAGCTGAAAGGGAAGCTTTGTTATGGAAACCTGCCTGGCACAAAAAGAAGGCCAGAATAAGACTGAAAAGAGAAATTTAAAATTATATGTAATGGATCAAAGGCACTGTAGAACTATGGTTTGATTTAAGGATTAAGATTTTGAGTTAGAAGTAAGAGAAAAATGGGTGATTATTAGAATATATATATTAAATAGATTAAGAATGTATTTTTGGAATAATAGGTTTATTTGTATGAAAACTATTACGTAATGGAATGAAGAAAATTGAAGAGGTGTTTTAGATCTGGATTGATTTAATATTTAATTGAATGTTAATTTAATAAGATGATGTTTTCATTTGATAATATGGATGTTATTAGGTATGATAATTAATGGGATGAAATTTTAATCTCGTCCAATGGATTGAAATGATTTAAGATTTGATATTATCTTGTTATCTTAAAGAGATTGATTGATTGATGGGTTAGATATGTATAGGATAGACCAATATTTTATTTTAATTAGGAGATATTAGTGGAGGAAGAAAAAAAATAAGACTTATGATAAAATTAAGGAACTAGAATATACTTGGAAGGGATACCTGAATTGATAATGTGTTTATTTAAAGTTAAACTTGATCATGGTAATTGTAAATTCATAAAGCTCCAAAACAGGTTTAGGATTAATAGAAATTTAAATTAGCTATTAAGCTATTTGAGGGAAATAGAGAGGGAATATTTGATGTATTGATTTGAGTTATTCATATATGGTTTTACTTTTGGATGTTTGATTATCCCAGCACCACGGTGTGTCTTGAGCACTTTGTTCTAAGAATTTAAAAAAACCAATAAAATTTGTTTCAAAAAAAAATTCCTGTAAGACATTATAGACACAGCTGACCCAGTGTCCAGTTCCATGGAGCACAGAACTCCTTGTAGTTTGACTTTTAGTCTAAGCTTTTCTTTTAGGGGCGATGGGCTCCAGTTCTGAGGATGCTCCTTCTTCCAGAGCAAAATCCTACTCTATTCTGCCCCAGGGCCCCATTACCTCTTTGCGTGGAGATTCCTTCTGGCAACCTTTACAGACGATAGCGATGTGGCCCTGTTTGCCACATACTCGGCACACAGTTGCGTGAAACTGGCATTCTGGGAGCTGGTGTCATCCTCTGCAGTCCTGACAGCTAGGAAAGAAGGCTTCCTTGTCAAGCGGCCACTGCCTTCTTTCTGGGATCTTCTGCACCCAGTTGATCACAATGTCTATGTCTGGGTCTTCTGTTCTCTCTGACTCTTCATGATGCACAGCCGTCTGGCTGGGGGAATTCTTTGAGGGATGTAAAGCCTTGATGGCTCCACCTGTGGCCTCTTCTGCCATCACTTCTTTCAGTGTGTCCTGGAATGTCAGGGTCTCTTTAGCAAACAGCCTCTGCTGTAAGTCTCTGCTTCTCAGGCCACATACCAGTTAGTCCCTGAGCCGGTCCTCTAGGTCAGGAAATTCGCAAAGCCAGGATGCTTGACGTAGGGCGGCCACAAATTCAGCAGCTATCTCACCTGGCTGCTGCTCTCTCTGCTCAAACACATGTCTCCATGCGATGATGGACAGCCTTGGTTCGAAGTCTGTGAAGATAACTACTCTGAAGTAGCAGGAGCGACTAGATCAGTGGTGGTGAACCTATGGCATGCGTGCCAGAGGCAGCACTCAGAGCCCTCTCTGTGGGCACACGTGCCATTGTCCCAGCCTCGCCTCCCCCCACGACCTCCTCCTCACCAGCAGCCCCCCTGGAGGATAGTCGCCTCTGAGCGTGGCCCACATGGAGCAGCACAACCAAGGACATGGCAGCCAGGCAGTGTAGACAAGACTCTGCCCTCATGCCCCATCCCGCACAGTTAATGCTGCGGGGCATGGATGCTTCTGGGCTGCCTGGGTGATCTGCGGTGGGCCCTGGAGGCAGAGAGTGGCCCTGCAGGCAGGTGGGGTGGGGGGCAGGGTGGGGGCAGAGCAGGGGGTGGAGCAGGGGTGGGGCCAGTTTTTGGGCACTCGGTCTCTAAAAGGTTTGCCATCACTGGACTAGATTCTGCACTATATCAAACGTTGCTTGGCCGCAAACGCACAACAGGGTCTCTGTTTATTTATTCAATATATATTATATGTGTATGCAAAAATGTATTTCTCTGCTCTTGGCAAAGCAGTCTTTTAGCTATCTATGTTGATAATTTGGCCTTTTTTGTCTTCTAATTAGCTAATTGTAAATAATTTACATGGATATTGCCAGCAATCTACAATCCTGAAACAGAATAGTTGAAGTAGAGCCTGATCTTGTAACCAAGATCTTTGTTCACCTCACAAAGCCCAATGATTAAAGCCAGAAAACATACATCATCTCTTAAAAATATACTAGTGCCCATTCATAGACTGACATGACAGTTTTTAAAGATCTTAAAAACTCTTCTAATTGGATTAGTTTCATTTCTTCATTGACAACTATCCAGAAATTGCTGAAGTTCCTTAGTTATGTCTCTCAGATATTATAACTTTAATAATCAATAGTCCTAATTTTTAATAAATAATTTAATCTCCTTTTTTAAAAAAACCTCCTTCTGATCTTTATTGATATTACAGTATGTCCACAATTCTTAAGAATATATGACAGAAAGAAATCTTTCAGATCAATAAATAATAAACAATGGCCTGTGCAATGAGAAAGTTGAGCAGTATTGAAAGCAGCACAACACCTCATTCAAGAATGACCAGAGTACTTGCATAAATATTTGGGAACAAGGCTTTGGAGTCTGTCTGAAAAAAAGAGAACATAGGCCCTATGTAAGGAGATGTTAGTGAGCTGTGCTTAAAACGATCACCTTCTATACTACAGTTCATTCATATCGTCTATCAGCTATACTATTGTCCAAATATTAGAGTCACATTCGTGATCATGCAAGACAGCAGTGTTACAGCAACATCATCCTAGTACAATGTGTTTAAGAACAACTAAAAGCTGACCTCTCTGTGGAGTACAATTCTCCTGGGATACATAAAGTAATTGCATACATATTTAGTTTTGAAAGGATGGTAGTTAGTTTCAACCAGAGACAGAATTTCAGTGTCCAAGAACAAAGCATGAAGAATATTATAAATATCTCAACTTTTTTCATGTTATGTAGAATAAAACCACTACAATTATACAGCATAATTTGTGGAGGCTTCTTACTCTTTTCTAAGGTTTGCTTTATAACCACCTTTTGTTATCAGAATACTAATGTCACTGTCATCAAAGAAGCAAGAAGAATTTAGATGTCAAGGAAAGATTTGGCTTTTCTCCAAAAATGTTAGCTTTAATTACGTTCTCACTAGCATTATTTTATCTCCCACTTTCTAAGTCAGGTAATATCAAATGTAGAGTTCAAAGTCCTCATGATCCATATCATATGTACTACCAGTCAGGTGATGTCATCGTGGGTGGCATTGTCACTTTAGCTGCTTTCCTGCATGGTGCCCTAAAGTTCAGCAAAGTCCCACCACCACCATTGCTTGAAGATCTTGTGTAAGAAAAAATTCTTATTTTGATGTCTTCTAACTGCATAAACTGCAGTTAGGATTTTATGCTTAGTTCTATATTGTCTAATTGTACAAACTGCTAATAGATCATAATTCAATTAGTCTACTCTGTTTAAAATTGTATCAAAGCATTGGAGATTTGTATAGTTTTTGTTATTTTCCCCAGACAGTTATCCAATGTTATCTAATAAGTCTACGCCAGACTATTAAGGGGAAAAATCACTGAAATTTTTACTGTTTTATATAAATAGATCTGGCAAAGTTTAATTCTTCTCTGAGAATTTTACACATTCTTCCTTGTGAATATCTTCCTCTTGATTTATGCATCATTGAGATACTTGTAGTAAAATGTGGCATTTCTTCATACTTTTAATGATGTGAATAGCTGTTATTAATATAAATTATGATTATACCATATAAAAACAACAGAAATTCCAAAAGAGAAAAAATACAAATGGATTATGTAGATATTTGCAATAAAGTTGATGCTTTGCATAAATAAGTAGACATGCAAAATACTATTTGCTAAGTTTCCATATATTATATCATATGAAATAACTGTTTTATGAAACCTTTACTATATTAGTTTCATATACATGCTAATAAGAATAAATATTCTGAGATTTATAACATGAGATACAATAATTATTATTTTTTCTTTAAAAAAAATCTTTTAAATATTTATCTGACTTTAAATTTATCTTCTATTTCAGATTAGTTCCTAAATATTATCAAAATATTGTGGCCCTAACATTCGCAGTCAAGGAAATCAATAAAAACCCACAGATCTTATCCAATGTCACTCTTGGCTTCAACATCTATGACAGTTACCTCAATGCCCAGAAAACATACCATGCCACAATGTCACTGATTTACAACAAGAAAAGCTTTTTTCCCAATTATATCTGTGGTATCCAGCATCATCTGATTTCAGTGATTGGGGGACTAGATGCAAAAACTTCCATTCACATTGCAAATCTCTTGGATATCTATAAGATCCCACAGGTAAGGAACAGAGCATACCTGACTTTTTAGAACTTCTCAATTTCATTCGGTAAATTAGGGGCAGAAATTTGAATTCTTCTAAATAACATTGTACCTTGTGTGCTTCTTTTCTGTTAACATCCTATTACTTTTTATTACTTTTTTTTAAAAGAAGGACAATGACGAGCTAAAGTATTTTAACCTAAGAAAAGAAACTACTTTAGTATGAATGAAAGATGTGAATTCTTTTTCTGAATAAATGGCCTTGAATGTTTCCTCAGTCATGTTAGAACTGTGTAACCCAAATAACAAAAAATCTTCTAATATAATTAATTTCACAAAGATATAGTTACATAAACTTTGCTCATAATGATATTATTCAGAGATGAGTACACAGATTAGATACAAAAGAGATTACACAAAAAGTGAATGAAGAAGCAAGAACAGTGTACACCAACTATAGCTCCTGTAAAAAATGAATATTTTATTTATTGATTAAATGTATTTTTATGCAGCCACAATCAAAATTATTCTTGAAGTCTTATGTAGAAACTATACAACATAAACCATTGACAATATACTGTAAATAATAAATACACAAATATTACAAGAATGCAAAGAAAAAAGGATAATGGAAAATGGAAATATCAAAAGAAGTCTGGGGAAAAACTGTCCAAAACATTTCAAAGGCCAAGAGCTTAAATTTTTTTTGCAGAATCAAGAGCCTCTTTAACATTCAATTGTTGAATTGTACACAAAACTCTATCTTGTATTTCTGACCTACAAAAAATACAACAGTCAGAATATAATCTATCTAACATTTCCTGAAGTACTTATATTATAAAATTCTTTATTGGCCAAGTGTGATTGGACATACAAGGAATTTGTCTCTGGTGCATAAGCTCTTAATGTAGATACAAGCAACAACAGACACTCATGATCATAATCATAAAATACAATCATCATAAATCATAAGATACAAATTGAGTGATGGCCATAGGATAAACAAACAAAATAAATCATATTAGGATACTAAATAAAGGCAATCAGCATAAATCATGAGATATAAACAACAAAGTTAAAACCATAAGAAGCTAAGGAAATAGGTAATAGGAAAGATGAGAAGGATATTAGGTAATGCAACCCTACTAGGTGGTTTGACATCCTAGGGCATAGGCAGTATTGTGGAAAATAGTTGTTTAGCAGATGATAGCATGGGGGGGAAAACTGTTTTTGTATTTGGTTGTTTTGGCATACAATGCCCTGTAGCGTCATCTTAAGGGAAGAAGCTGAAACATGTCCAGGATGTGAGGCATCTGTAAATATTTTCACAGCCCTCTTTCTGGCTCTTACAGTATACAGGTCCTCAATGGAAGGGAGGCTGGTTGCAATTATTTTTATCTGCAGTCCTAATTACACTGGTCTGCAAGGAGAAAGCCTCAGAAATTAAAGTAACTAAATTTTACTAGAATTGGGTCACTAATAAAGGAAGATTAAATTCTGGATATTAATTGGCTCCAGTTTCCAAGATACAGCTTCAGGTCAAAATTGCATCAAAATAATTCAAAATTACAAGGGGAATGTGCAATTATGCTCTATAACGTTTCTACAAAATGTGATATAGCAATGAGAATAATGACACACCAATCATTATAAATGTATCTTTTTGTTGATACCAATAACATAACTTTCCATTCATTTATTGGTTTTTCATGTAACATTTTCATGCTTTTCCACTCTGCAAGAGGTTCCACTGTTGTAATCTGGAGCCTATAGTTCTGCCTTACTCTTAGGCAATTCCAAATTCCTGACCAGGTCATTTAGTTCACTCTGTGAAATTAGATGTGGTTCAGTAGGAGCATATAGTGGGCTAAAGTTTGGGTCCTCTGACATAGATGGCTCCGGATCAGCTGCATCCTGCTAATCATCTTTATCATCATCTGAGTCTAGAGCAGGGATGTCAAACTTGCAACATCACATGACGTGTCATGCCGTATCGCAACTTTTTTTCCATTGCCGGCAATGCGGTGGGCATGGTTTCACTGTGATTCACCCAGCCCACAGGCTGGCAGTTTGACACCACTGGTCTAGAGAGTAGGATTCTGGTGGATCTGGAATTGGCAAATCCTCACCATGGGGTACATGGCACAATGTGGATGGACTTTTGGATATTCCATAGTCCACTTCTTTCTTGAGATCCATTTTGCAATTGGGTGAACCATGCAAAAATAGCAGTTGCTACTATGATTGGTGGGTTCCCACCACACCAGTGGGACTGTAAAAGGCATGGACTTTTTCTTCTTGTTTAGCCAATGATGCAGATAAGTTGCATATGTAATACAACAATAATGGGGGGCCCAACTCTTGCCCTGATCCTCTATTTTGCATTCAAAATATAGATGGTATGCCTTTTTTCCACTGCCATCATACTGCACTTTTGAGATGCCAATGTAACCTCACCACAACTGTAGCAGAAGATACCTGGATTGTTTACATAGTTTCGAGGCATCTTGGCTTCTGAGGGAAAATATCACACAACTGTTCCTTGGAAATGTTAGGCAATGACACTTTCACAAGCCACCAGATGTAACTATATGATGCGTAGATCTGACCAAGACAAATGTGCCTTGCAATAAAAGACAATAAATTATAGTTACATAATAATCTTTAGGCTCAAAGTGAAGATAAATTTATACACTTCCATGTGGTACCATTTTCATTGTTATGTGGTACTTTGTCAAGAAGGTACGAGGCATCATGATCATTAGACACCTCTCTCCCTCAAAGGCAAATATGCTCACCTGTGTATAAATCTTTATGTTGAAAACTTTAGCTAACCCGCACCTTTACCACCTGTTTTCTAATTCATCTAATCAAAATATGTAAGAATTAACACATTTTATCTTGGAGGTTGATAATTTCCCAAAATTTGTAGACCAGTGTTATCTGTTGAAATCTGTGTCTGTTTAGTTTGGTTGCTGTGCCAAACCTGACATTTATAGAAATACACAAATGATATACAAATATACAAATGACAGACTCAAGAATTCCTTTATAGAACTGTATCAGCATCTCCTTGGGCAGTTCTGACATTTCTGAGTTGGTGCAGGACGAACATTCTTTGTTCTGCTTTTTTGATGATGTTTATGTTAGGTGTCCATTTTAAATCCTGAGATATTACAGAACCTAAAAACTTGGAGGTCTCTACTGTTGATACTGTGTTGTCTAGTATTGTAAGAGCTGGTAGAATAGGAGGACTTCTCCTGAAATCTAATATCTCTACAGTTTTGAGTGTGTTCAGTTCAAGATTGTTCCAGCTGCACCACAGGGCCAGTTGTTCAACTTCCCATCTGTATGCAGATTCATCATTGTCTTGAATGAGACTAATCACTGTAGTATTATCTGTAGTCTTCAGTACTTTAACAGAGGGATCCTTTGAGATACAGTCCTTGATACAGAGAGAAAGAATAATGGAGACAGCACACAGCCCTGGGGGGAACCTGTGCTAATTGAGCAGGCTTTTGATGTGATTTTGCCTACCTTCACTTGCTGCTTCTTATCTGTTAGAAACCTTATGATTCAATTACAAATGTGATCAGGCACAGCTAGCTGAGTCAGTTAATGAGAAGAATATCTGAAATGATGGTATTGAATGCCAAGATGAAGTCTGCAAAAATGACCCTTGCATAGGTCCTTGTAGATTCAAGATGTTATAAGATGTAGTACAGTGCCATATTAACAGCATCATCTGCTGATCTATTTGCTCTGTAGGCAAATTGCAAGGTGTCTAACAGGGATCTGTGATGGTTTTCGGGTGGGCCAGCACTAGCCTTTCAAATGTTTTCATAACTATGGATGTCAGAGCAACCAGTCTGTAGTCGTTCAGCTCCTTGATGGAGAGTTTGCTAGGCACTGGGATTATAGTAGAGCATTTGAAGCAAGAAGGAACATAACACATTTCTAATGGTTTGTTAAATATGTGGGTGAAGATGGGGACCAGTTGGTCATCACAAGCTTTCAAGCAAGAAGGTGTTATCTTGTCTGGCCTGGCACTTTTTCAGGCTTTTGTCTGTGAAATAGACCTCACACATATTTTTCTGTGATCACCAGAAGTGGGGTGCCTAGAAGGATGGGCTGTTGTTTGTGTATCTGAGATGGAGAGGGTGGCTGTAGTTGACAGTGGTTTCCTCTCAAACCTACAGTAAAACGCATTCAGGTCATCTGCCAATTGTTGATTCTCTTCAGCCTGGGAAGGAGGTTTGCTGTAGCCAGTGATATTTTTAAAGGTTTTCCACACATTTGCTGATTTTCAGCTTTTCAGAGTAGCTTCTTTTTGCTGCTCTGATCTCCCTTGTTAATACATTTCTGATGTGATTGTGCAGCATTCTATCTCCTTTTCTGTAAGCTTCCTCTTTGGCATAATGTAGCTGCTTAAGTTTAGCTGTGAACCAAGGTTTATTGTTGCTGTGTATTCACAAGCTTCTGATTGGCACACATAGGTCTTCACAAAAACTAACATATGATATCACAGTATCTGTGACTTCATCCAAGTCTGCAGAAGTAGTTTTAAACATGTTCCAGTCTGTGCAGTCAAGGCAAACCTGTAGCTTTAACTTTGCCTCCTCAGTCCAAGACTTCATTGATTTAATTGCTGGTTTTATGGTTTTAAGCCTTTGTCTATAAATAGGTACAAGGTGAATCATACAGTGATCAGAGTGTCCCACAGCTGCTCATGATAAAGACTGATAAGCAACTTTTTATGTAGTATAACAATAGTCTAAAATATTCTTGCCTCTAATAAGACAGTTGGCATGCTGGATGTAGTTTGGTAGCTCTTGGCTTAAGTTAGCACTGTTGAATCTCCTAACACAATGAGAAATGACTCTGGATATTTTTGTTGATCCCACAGGATCTGGCCAGCTAGTGTTTGTAATGCATTGTTTATGCAAGCTTATAGTGGAATGTACATAGCAGCTAGAATAAACAAGGAAAATTTCATGGACAATAAAACAGTTTGCAATTGATAGATAATGTTTCTAAGTCCACATCACAAAATTTCTTTAGTGTAGTTACATTTTTACACCATCAGTTGTTGATATAAAAGCAGAGACCTCGCCATCCCTTCTTTTTATTGCACATTTCTGCAATTCTAACTGCTCTTTGAATCCGAAATCTTGGGATTTGCAAACAATTATCATTAATCGAGTAGTTCAGCCAGGTTTCAATGAAATAGAGGGCTGCCAAGTTAAAAATTCTGAACTGTCTCTATTTTAAAATAGCAGTTCATCTATCTTATTTACAAGTGAGTGAAGATTAGTTAGATGCAGATAGGGAAGGAAGATTTGCTTATTAAATATTAAGAAAATATTAATAAATTAAGCAAATATTAATAACCATTACTATTAATATTAAAGACTAAATGTAACAGACATAGCTACTTGTGATAAAATACCACTCATTTATTCATTCATCCATCCATTCATTCAATTGATAATACTACAGTGCATTTAAAATTGCTCAAATTGCACTGAGAAACTACCAGAGGACTGGAAAAGAGCTGATGTACCGTATTTATTGGCGTATAACACGCACTTTTTCCCCCTGAAAATAGGGGGCAAATGATGCGTGCGTGTTATACGCCGATATAAGCTCTCCGCCGCCCGGCCCCACCTCGGCCCGGGCAGCC